TGGTAATCCTGGGGTCGTGATGATGGGGCCCTTGAATATTGTTGCCCAGGGTACAGCGAAGTGTTAATCCGGCCCTGATATCTATGGATTTGGAAGATAAGAAATTGTGTAATAGTCTCCATAATTGTTGTACTTCAACACACTCAAAAAACACGTTTGGTCGTTTCTTTATTACAGAGCCCACAATTTTCTACATCAAATTTAAATCTATTTTTTATAAATTCGTTTGAGGGATAAATATTGTTCAACATTTTAAAATGTACTTCCTGGATTTTGATGCCTCTGACCATAAATATGGCGCGGTATGAGGGCCAAAATTAAGACTATTGCGCAACCAGCGCTAGTAGTCTTAATTTTGGCCCTCATACCGCGCCATACACAAAGGCATTTAGAACGGCTATGATGCGAATTCAAATACATTTGATTATGCATATAGACAGCATTTCACAACAACTGAAGGTGACATAGTTACTTTATGTTGGTGTAGAACTGAACTATATACTTTTCCGGCATCAAGTTTTATTTCGAAAATACTGACCGGATGTGATGTCGTTTGACTTCCTGCGAGGCAACGACATGGCAAACGCCGGGCTAGCGTCCGTGGACGAGACGATGATGCGATATCCTGAATATTCCTCTAAAACAAATGTCAGGAGCGACGCAGAGATCGACAGGAGACTGGTTAGTGTCTGAATTAACTCGTGTGACCTTTGAGGGACCTGACGAACTGAATTAATGTTTTTAATGTCGGAAGTCTATGAGTCACCTCAGTGACCGCGAAACGCAGCATGTTGCATGAGAAACGCCGGCTAACCTAAACTATGCTAAATAAGATGTTATTTCGGTAGTGTCTTCACTCTTTTTGTAAATTATATATATATATTATTAATTATGGGTGCAACAATACATGCACCCGTATCGAACAGTGTTTTAGGTTCAGTACACACTTGTATGGAACAATACAGATTTTTAAAATTTACTTTATCAGCTTGTCTTCTGAAGAGGCTCTGTGTTGAAGGATCAGTGGATCTGTGTTCGACTACTCCACCTAGGCTGCATTTTTGAGCGCAGATCCACTGAGAAACTTGCTGTTTCAGCGACATTCGGTGTGTGTAAGTGTTAGTTAGTTAGTTAGTTAGTTAGTTAGTTAGTTAGTTA